TAACTCTAAATTTTCTTTAGGCCTCCTTAAGACTATCAGCGCCCCCAACCAGCAGGAAGTAGCTTGAAATACTACGCCCACGTTCCCAACAAATGGATTATGGGTATTTTCCTTTGTTTAAAAAAAAAAAGAGAGGGAAATGGTGTGGGAGAATTATCTGTATTCTGTCAATTATATTTTAATAAAACGCTGATTGGCCAGGCAGGCAGTATAGGCGGGAAAGCCAGACAGGAAGTAGGGGTGGAGCAAAGAGACTGGGAGTATTCTGGAAGCAGAAGCTCTCTCTCAGGCATTCCTGTACAGACCACCGAAGAGACAGCATGTAACTTGCCCAGCAGAGAAAGGTACGGAGCCATTATGGCTAACATAGATGAGAATAATGGGTTAATATAAGTTACAAGGACTAATAAGGAGCCTGATCTGAGGACCAATCAGTTTATAACCTTATGGAGTCCTGTGTGTAATTTCTCTTTGGGATTTGCCGGCTGTTGGGGTACCGGGCGGGACAGAAACCCCAACAAGCCGGCCCTCATGTTACATCCGTCCATTAGCAACTTGGTAGTAATATAAAAAACTACAAGGAAAATTCCCAGGGGCACAGGCCTTCTTTGAAGATACGCTAGCAAAGCTCGTCAGCTGCTCCGTTGCTAACTGCAGCTGCAACTGTGGGGAGGAGCCCACCGTCCTTTAAAGGAACCGCTACAGGTTGCAAAGGGAAAAAATTAAACCATTGAGAGGTGCAAGGAAAAGGCAGAAAATAAGTGCATTATTTTACATTTCGTCAGTGTGATTAATAATATCTGGACATGGTTAGTCCGTTAGGTGCTATTGGTTTCTTGAAGAACTAAGATCAAACAGGGACAGACACCGGCAATACCACTCTGGTTCATCATAAATCCTCTGAAGGCTTACATTTACAAGGCCAGACACCTGCAATTTCATAAGTAAAATCTGTGAAAGTTCCGTTTGTGATGTGTCCAAAAGGATGCACATCTGGCCAACTTGCTCTGCCAGTCAGGCTAATGATACAGAACAGATTTCTAAGTTTCTCACCATAACGTGGAGAACATAGCGCAGAGAGAAGTCATTCTCCTGACCATCCACAAATACGTGTGCCCGTAAGACTGAGATGTGACCATGAGATTCCGTGTACACATTATATGAAAATGTGTGGTAATGGGGAGATATCATAGCTGTTATTGCACAAGTGAAAATACAGATGAAAGCAACAGTTTCCAGAGTCAGGGCGCTGGGCGCTGTCAGCTTTGCCGGGCGGGGTTACTCCATCTGAGAATAATTTTTCAGGTGAGTTGATATCTGAAGTATCAATTGCTACAAGCTGTAATTGAGCCATGGCCCACAATAGCTCGTGATAAACGCTCCTGATGAAAAATTTTCACACTAATGAAGTCAACTTCGAGAGTAACCTTTGCAAATAGAATAATAAAAATTTGGTAGGGTTCTCGGAGTTCTAAACGAAAATGTAAGGCAAACATAATAAGTAAAGTTTTTTAATTAAGAAACGTTTATGTACAGGTTTGACATCTACCTGGATCCATTGCTTAGCATTGCCTTCCGTGTTAGGACATGAGCCCTCCAAGGTACCTTTTATGAAATACAGTATTAACTTTGAACAAGGTGAGCTTATTTGTGTGAAGTTTCTGGAGTGGAAAATCCGCATGACAAGTATTGATGGCTGACTCTCTGTGGTCCATCAACTTGGATATAAAGGAAGTCCCCCAACAGGGGTCTTTCAGTGTTTGGAAGGAGCTCTGGGAAGGGGGTGAGAGGTCCCGTAGCGTCCGAGTCCCGCAGCATAAAACCTTACAAGGAGTGTGTGCACGGGCAGGAGATGGTTATGACAGTCAGAAAGCCTGCTAATTAACAGTAGGCAAGGGAATACTTGAAAATGGAATTCGCGGTAACTCAAAGTTCCAGATGACACGCATCTTTATTAAAGGAAAGAGAAGTAAACAATACATTAATTAAATCTTCAAATCCATTTTAAAACTCAGGTTTTAAAAATGTCACATAGCAAAGAGAAATAAGATAGTAGAGTGTAATATCAAGCCACTGAGAGGGGAAACAATAAAATTAGGTCCTGCTGTTCTTAAGTTCACACTGATTTAAATATGTAAATGCAGCCATCATCTTCTTGATTTTAGAGTTTGTTTTGTTGACCAGCAGGCTTCAATCTCACAACAGAATCAATCCCCTGACTACGTTGAAATCATGTGTATATTTCCAAAGTCAAAATTCTTCCTTATGTTCCAAAGTATTGATTCTAATGGAATCAATCTCATGGAAAACAATTATTTATCTAAATCTGAAATCACCCAAAGTTAAATATACTCTACGTTTCAATCTGTTGTCAATCGGGAGGTTTCTGTCCTTGGTATGTATTTCAGTGGATGTGAGTCTCCGGCTCTGGGCTCAGTTGACCTTTATGGGAATATTTCCTGCAACATCTGATGTCTTGTACTCGGCAGCCAGGCTGAGCCCCTGAGATGTTCTCACCCCTACCCCTGCCCTCATGCTGTGGCTTCTAGCCGTCCATTTTCCATCCCTTTTCACCCTCGTTCTGTGCGTCTCTAAATCTGACCTTCAAAATTCCAAAGCGCCACTTCCCTAATGAAAAAGAAAAAATGTTCCTTTCTGCCGTGTGCTCCGATGCCTCTCGCAAGTTTCTACCATAAATTAGAACCCCTAAACGGTTATCTCATTTCCTTGGCTCCTCTGTAACTTTCTGCAAGTCTATACCTGGCTCACTATTCTCTTTGGTGTCTCGCACCTTGTCAGCAACTAACATGATGTCAACATGCATTTGTTAGTGAATAAATTAGCAATTTAAAAAGGAAATTAAAAGCAGAATTGTTAGTTTTTCTTAAAGAAATAGGCATAAAAAGAAAAAATATATACTTCATACATCTTCTCACTGTAACCTGAAGCAGATGATGACTGAAAACAATGTACAGTAGCTTCACGTAAGAAATATAAATGGCAGGCTGTATTTATGCTGTATTTCTCTCTTTCTCTCCCTCTCCCTCCCCCCACCGTGTGTGTGTGTGTGTGTGTGTGTGTGTGTGTGCATGTGTGTAAATATAAAGAAAAAAGAGAGGGTGGAAATGGTATAAATACTATACTCATGTATGAAATTCTCAAAAAAATTAAATTTAAAAATGTCTTAAAACTGTTGTAAAAAAGACAACAGCTAGTTCATATATAGGGTGGCATTTGTATTCATCTGTAACACTAATGATGATATATTAAGTCACTTCCCCGTTTTGCAAAAAGATTAGTATAACACATGAAGATCAGGTATGAGAAACATGATACTCATTTATGAAGTTCAGTTTTCTCACCTTGAGAATAAGTAACAAAATTTATTTTCAGCCTTACTATTGCACAAGTTTGTTATAAGAGAACAATGTTAGTAATACTTTGTATGCTACAAAGTTTGACCTGAACATAAAGGTACATGGGGAACCTTAAAATCAGGAACCTAAGATAGTAACGTGAGGAAGAATGAGTGAGTAGCACCAGTTGGGTTCTCAGGTCAAAGTCGTAGGAAATAACAAGCGAAATGCTTCGAGCAGGAGGTAACTTGTGCGCGGCAGTGCAGCATCATCCCAAGAGCTGGGCAGCTCCCAGAGTGCTGCAGCACCTCAGGAAGCCTGCGTGTTATCTGAGCGCTCCAAGCCTCAGTCCTGGATATGCTTGCAGATGACGGCCTTCCAGTCTCCATCTTGACTCCCTCTTACCAGTCAGGAGCAACCATCTCTCTCCCGAACCACAAGTCCCTTTTACAAAAGCCGCAGACTTTTTTCATCAGACTTTATCACATCCTCAAGTTTGAATGTATTCTCTGAAAAGGAATACAGAATGTGGAACCCAAAGATACAGACTTAGGCTCCCCAGGTCGGGGGCCTCTCTAGGGCACTCTTGTTTTTTCCGTCTTCCCATGTTATACATGGGAAAGGAAACGGACAACCGGTGATCCTGTCAGCCAACTGTATGCCCGTCCTGAATTGCCTAGAACAGTTAGCAAATGCATTTCCACGTAGGCTTCCTCACCTAATCTTCCTCAATGCGAGTCAGTCAGCATATCTCTAGCCATTTTCTAAGAGTACGGGCTCTACTAGGATTACACATGGGACAGGTACGTTGTTGCCTAGTAGGCTCCAGCATTTCTTCCCTAGGGAGTCACTGAGCAATGCCTAGATTCTAGCGAAGTCACTATGACCCCCTCAGAGCCTGCTCAGGGCCCTTCAGAATAAGAGACCTTCTGCAATCATGTGACTAAAATAGTCAAGACGTCTGTAAAGTATTTGACTAATACCCATGTTGTGACCGTGCTTGGTGTGATGTGATTATTTAAAACTTTTTATTCAGCTGGGCAGGTGGGCAGGCAGTCATTCATGAGCCTAAAGAATGAATGGAACTCAGCTCCACCATGTTTTAGATAGAATGCATTGCCGTTCAGTGAGGGGGGGACTTACCAATCATTACCACAGTTAACCGTGTTTCTCCCCTTCCCCCTACCGAAGCACACAAAGGTAAAGCTTTGACCTGGTGTAAAAGTTAAATTTTAACTTCATACCCAGGCCATAACTAAATATTTAGTCAGCTGAACCCAACATGGGCTAATGACTTACCTCAGGTTGCTGCCTTGTCTTGTCATCATGCTGAAGAGAAGCTGATTTTGTTAGAGTGAAGCCTTCCCTAGAGCATGATTTATGACTCAAGGGTTCCAGAAAAATCACCTACCCAAAGTGAGAGCCCAAAGTCATCATAGATCACCATGATTTGGGAGCAATCTGATACGGAAGCTAAGGAGATGGGGTTTTGTTTAGATCAAGCTATACAAGCTAAAATCTGTGCTCTTTAAAAGGACCTTTGTTGGTTTTTCTACTTGATATGGAAATCAGATTCCTGTTTCTAAGTCTGGTCTGTATGGCACGGGAGGTTTTAATAACACCTCTCTGTGTTGTCTTCCGTAGAAGACAAAGGGAAGTTAAAAGCCACCAGTTCGGCTCAGCCCTCAGGCTCTGAGGGAGGCGCCTTTCTCCTCAAATCTGGAACCGCACCTCTGCCACCTGCGGCCATCACTTCTCCCTCCAAGAGCGCAAACGGAGCTCCCGGATCTGCTGCTGAATCCGAAGAAGAAAAAGCCAAAAAACTTCTCTATTGCTCGCTATGCAAAGTGGCCGTGAACTCCCTGTCACAGCTGGAGGCACACAACACAGGTTAGCTGCGGGGTTTTGGAGTCTGAAGCGTGTTGATAACCCATCCCAGATCTTCCCACCAGAATGTAACAGCTGTTGCTTACATGCCAAGTGTGTTTCTTGCCCCTCCCCCTCTGCCTGTGTCTCTCGCTTTACTTAGGAGTGATTTTAGCAAAGTATGGTCGTACGACTGCAAAGTGCAAAGCTAAAGTAGTGTGGAGACAAGCATGTCCTTTATCTCATCAGAAAGCATCTAATACTAACCAAAAATCATTCTGATGAAGTGACAGGAATATGGTCAAAGGTTTGTGCAGACTGGTCACTGCTATTTACTGATGAGCCAAAAAGAAAGGAAACAGCATAAAAATTCATCAGTAATAATATTCTGAATAAATTATTGTAGCCCAGTGTGATAGAATATATTACTCAGTCACTAAAATTAATGAGAAGAAAACATGTACATGGGCCAGATGTGGTGGTGCATGCCCGTAATTTTAGCACAAAAGAGGCAGGAGAATCACAGGTTTCAGGCTAGCATGGGCTACAAGATGAGTTCAAGGCCAGTCTGGGTACATAGTAAGATCCTGTCTCAAAGATAATTGGAAAGGAAGAGAGGAAGGTGGGGGGAAAGGGGAAAAGAGAGAAGAGGGGAGGGAGAGAAAGGTAATGGAAGAGAAAGAAGGGAAGAAAAATAAAATAAAGGGTTTCCTATAATTCATGTTTATTTATTTAGGTAGGGTCTCGTGTGGCACAGGCTAGCTTTGGACTTGTTGTGTAACTGATGATAGCCTAAAACTTCTGCCTCCAACTTCCTTCCAAGTCCTGGGATTGCAGGCATAAACCACCATACCAGGATCACTGAGTGCTGGGCACGAGACCCAGGTCTTCACACAAGCCAAGCAAAAACTCCACCAGCTGGACAATATCTCCAGCCCTGCCTCCTGTCCTTAAAGAGCTACGAAATACATTTGTGTTTATTTTTAGGATCTAAACACAAGACCATGGTCGAGGCCCGTAATGGAGCTGGTCCAATTAAGTCCTATCCAAGACCTGGGTCAAGATTAAAGATGCAGAATGGCAGCAAGGGTTCAGGACTCCAGAACAAGACGTTTCATTGTGAAATCTGTGATGTTCATGTTAACTCAGAGATTCAACTCAAACAGGTAAGGCGGCCCAAATTAAACGTTCTGAACATGTCAGGTCATGTCTGTGTATGACTCCTCACCTACCAATGGTTCTCTGTGTGCTTGCTGTTAAATTTAATACGCAACAATCCACAATGCATAAGTGCTCCGTAGAAGAGAATATCGGAGCCGAATGTCCTACCTCTCAGCTTCCAGCCCAGTGACTGGACACAGATAAATGGGCACAAAAGTTACCAGGAGCATACAATGCTTCCTTAGCCAGGGGTCGATGGCATGTGACACTCAAGATCCGGTCAAGGAAGTCAGGCTTGGTGCTGGCCGGCCGTGGCCACCCAGGGTGACTCTGATAAGACTGTAGAGAACGTTAGAGGAGCTGATGGAAAGAAAGTCCTCTCCTGAGGTGGGAATGGAGAAACCAGCTATCACTGTCTAGGAAATAGAGCTTTTCGAGAGCCAGTTAATGCTCACTACCTCTTTCCTTCAGCACATTTCCAGCCGAAGGCATAAAGACCGTGTCGCAGGAAAGCCGCTGAAGCCGAAATACAGCCCCTACAACAAGCTCCAGAGGAGCCCAAGCATTTTAGCTGTAAGTTCCCCTCGCACACCTGACTTACGGGACAGCCTGGTTAGACTGGATGGTGGTCACAGGGAGAGCCTCAGAACTGGAGGTTCCTAGACTAGCCTCTGGGGAATGATTAATTCACTCATTCATTTTTATTTTATTTATGTGTCAATCATCTCATTGGCTGGCCTGGGGATCTAATCCAGAACTTTCTACCTACTAAGCAAGAGTTCTAGTGCTAAGCTAATGGTTGTGGATTCATGAGAGAGAGGTGCTTGGTCCTTGGTGCCTATGTGGAGGGCAGAGGAAAACTTAATGAACTTGGTTCTCTCCTACTCCCTTGAGGGTCCCGGGGATCAGAATCTGGTTGTGAGGCCTGGCCATAGGCACATATATCCACTGAGCCGTGTCAGACTAAGCAGCAGGCACGCCTACCTGCTGAGCCACCTCACAGATCCAGCAATGTTAGAATGAACGGCTTAATTCCCGCTACAGGGAACTCTAAAGTCATCTTCCTTACCAGAGCAAAGCGGAGTTTCTTTAGAAGCCAGTGTCTTGGTGCCGGAGAGAAAACAGGTCAGGGGCTTAAAGCACTTACTGCTCTTGCACAGGACCCAACATCAGATCCCAACACTCAGGACAGGGTGTTCCAGGGTGTGCGACACCTTCTGGACATAGCAGGCATCTGCACTCATGCACACATACAATTAAAATTAAAATAAATCTTTTTTTTTTAAGAGCTAATGTCTTTCTTTTACTAAAACCTTGTCGAAAACATCCTTCTGGAAGGTATAAACAAAACTCCAGGCCGAGAAGAAGAGCAAGGGATGCCGGGGAGTTCGGGAAAGGTTTATTTTCATATGTCCTTTTCTCTGCTGTGTGCTTATATACATCCCAAAGTGTTTGCATTACTCCTTCTGTTCATGGCGGTAACCAGGCCATCTCCCTTGCTCTCAGTTTGTACCGTTTTCAGTTTCTTGCACAAATACCTAGAGATGTCAGCGCTATGTACCCTATAAATACACAGATAGATGGATTCGCAGCGTCTCTGGGGCAGGGTCTAACATGGCCTAAGATGGAGCTGAGATGGGCCTGCTGGACGGGAGCTTAGATCATCTTCTAGCCTCACCAAAGCTGCCAGCGGGTGCTGCAGGCAGGCGGTACCTGCATTAAGCAAATGCAGTTGGCACAGCCCCTTCTGGTTACAAAAGACAGAACTTTATGACTGATTTCTCCCCAGGAGGTGTCCACACTGGGATCCCTTCAAGTAGAGAGGTTTCTAGCCCACTTACAGTCACTGTCAAACACAGAATTTGACTTAATTTTAAATTTTTCAGGGAACACTCATCATGGGGATGGGGACAATACAAGAAGGGCAAATTGGTTTTATATTCTTAACTCCTCATGGGTCCCTAATGTTCTACATCTCAGTTACCTAACCCCAATGCAGTCTAAGAGATGTGAAGAGTTGTGCTTCTCACAATCCAAAGCTGAACGTGCTGGGTGCTGTGGCTCCTCTATCGTTCCTGCACTCTGGGAGGTTGAGTCTAGCGCAAGGCCAGCCCAGGCTGCACACCTCTCTCTAGACCACGTCGTTCTAGGATTCCAGTTGAGCTGGTTGTCTACGCAGGCCCCTTCTGGGTGTCTTTCCAGAGATCGAAGGTCACACCCAGGGCCACTGAGTCCAGCGACAGCCATCATTTCATGACTTCCCAACGTCAAGATGTTGACAATTCGGTTCACTGGCTCTGTAGTAAACTATTTTACTAGTGAAAACCCGTGGTGCTATGACTTGCAAACATTATCCTCATCAGGTTTCCCATTCTTGTCCCTTCTTAGGCAAAGCTCGCATTCCAGAAAGATCTGATGAAGCCTCTGACCCCGACTTTCCTGTCCTCGCCTCTGGCGGCTGCGGCTGTGTCCTCGGCGCTGTCCCTACCGCCTCGGCCATCCACCTCTCTCTTCCAGGCTGCAGCCATTCCTCCTGCGCTGCTGAGGCCTGGCCATGGGCCCATCCGGGCCACTCCCGCCTCCATCCTCTTTGCTCCTTACTAAATACTTGCAGCCCGCAACAGGCCAGGCCAACGGAAAGGCGTAGAGGAAAAGCCCAGAGGATTCAGCGATGTAAAGCCTTGTATGTGACTGTAACCACCCCCACCCGCCGACTTACAAAGTGCAGGCCGCAGACCAGCCCAACCTCCAAAGCCAAATGGAGGCCAGGCTGACAGGCACTATCCCCCTTATTTCCTGTGCCCCTTCTGTCCTACCCCAATCAATTGGTGTATCTGAGATATTGATGTTTCTGGAAAATATATTGATCAGAAAAAGAGAACCGACCTCCGTATTCCCATGGACGTGATCTGGCTTAGAAACGAAATGGAATCTCTTCCTGGCAGACTTGACCAGTCAACTCTTCCTCGGGTGTCTGTAAATAACTCCGGAATCCAAGCGGGCACGTTCTAGTGAGGAACGGAAGTCCATCGCAAGTGCTTAACAGTGGATCACGGCGTTCTTCCTTCTGGTGTACCCTAGTGTCCATAGGGATTGTGTACCGTTCTAGACCTGAGTACTGTTGTATCCCGTGTAGTACTAGATTGTAACTCGTCGAGTTAAACTTTTTTTTTATTGCTGTGTAATTGTTAGGAAGCAAAGTAGCTTTGAAATTTTTTTTCTCTTTAAGAGAACAAAAGATGATGTATTTTCTTTATTTCATGTTTTATTTGGAGATATTTAAACAGAATAGAAAGCCATATAACATAGCTATAATTACTACCTGTTTGCTGTTTTTGTGTTAACTTATTTTTGTAGCACCCTCACTGGTTTGAGTTGCTAAGCAAATGTATACAGAAACACAAAGAGCTTCCTAATTGCACATTTTTGCACCTTCTGTGCATCCGCAAGGAGACAATGAATCCGTGTATTTCTACATAATGATCTTCATTTTAAACTCTTTTCATTTGTAATGATGCTACACAACTCTGTGGCTCCCTGATGCAATAATGTACAGAAGATATATAATTTATAATTGAACAATCTGTCTTTCTGTTCGATGACTATGTCACAGGTCACATGACCATGCCCTTCCCCCACCCACCCACCCCCCAAAAAACCCCAACTGGCGTTGAGAAGACTGGAATGTTTGTGATATCAGGGGCAGGAGGTATCATCAAACAATGCAGAGAGTGAACTCTTGTAGAGGGCCTATATCTGCCATCTGTAAATGGTAAAATGTCTGTGTATTTTTTTAAATGTACCTTTTCAATAAAAGTACAAAAAAAAAAACCTGCTGGTGCGTCCTGTGGCATTTTCTCCGGAGACTCCTGTGATTTCACATCACCCAATGAGGTAGGAGGACTCACTCTTCCACGTTCCACACTTAGGTGCAAACTTAATTGCCACGTTTATTCATTACTCCTCACGGCATCTGGGTGAGGCCAGACTTTCCCACCGCGTCCTCTCTGACTCTCTGGGCCAAAGCTGTAATGTCCTCCAAAATGATAGCAGCCTGTTCAAACCCCGTGACTCTGATGTCTTCAGATTGTGCAGGTCCTCTAAACCCCCCCCCCGCTCATCTTTTATCCCTGTCAGTGATATTTATGGGCAGTTCCCGTTCCACGTCCCTCCCTGGTCCCTCCCTCCAATCAGGACACCGTGTTCTATCGTTTTTTTAAGCATAGCGCTTAGTGCGTTGCCGTTTGTTCTGATGAGCTGTTGTTTCTTCACCAACTAAAATTCTGTGGCCTAAAATAACAACCGTTTTATTACATCAGGATTTCACAGGTTGGTAATTCCAGAGGGCATTTGCTTGGGTTGTGCTCTGTTCCCTCAGGCATCATCCGAGTTCCCATGATCATATTCAGCCAGAAGCTGGGCTGGGCTGGGCTAGTTTGGGAAGCCCAGATAGTTTCATTGGCCACAGCACCCCTGTGGAAATGCCTGGTTTGGACTCTGCTGGAACAGTCTACCAGAGTGTCTATGTGTGGTTCCCCAAATCTTTCCAGTTGAATTAGATCCTTACACAGTGATTTTAAAAGGCCTAGCTAGGAATCAAAGGCTTTTTTATGAATCACTCCAGAGAATACTAGCGTGTCACTTACCCCACAGCCTACTGATCAAGAAAGACACTAAACCCATCCAAATCTAAGGGAGGGCTATCAGACTTCAGGTCTTAAATGTAAAGAAGAGCAAAGAATGTGCCCCCATTGTTAATCTATCACTCTATTGTAGACTTTTGAGGAAAAATGGTAACAAAACTATTATAGATCTTCTGTCTTCAGATCCTAAGCCCAAACCCCGTTCGTCTTTTAAATGGAGATTTGGGTTGGAGTAGGAACTAAATCCTCTCTTTAAAACCGAACCTGGTAGATGGCAGCGGCGCTGTGACGAAGTCTCAGTAAGTGAAGCCAATGGCTTCTCCCATCAGAGTTCACCCAACTGTCTGAAAGACTGTTGGCTTTAACACCTATGCCTATAAACAGGTTACTTTTACAGTGTAGCAAAAGTCTAGTTTGGCATTCAGAATTCGGATTTTGTTTTATTTTTATTGTAACCCATTTGAACTCTATCTGGCACTGGTTAAACCTGTGTAATTTGACCTGGAGGCTTGATTGATAGATGTCATACTCTGTGAAAGAATTAGGTTTCCATTTGACACTCGGAGAACTTTTACTGTTACTTTTCTGGACTTTAGGGGCAGTTTTACTTGATTTACCTTGCCTTGTCCTCGGTCTTATTGAAGCTTATTGCAACCTCGGAGATTTCCAAATGTCAGTATTTAAATAGACCCAGAAACTTATTGATTAGATTTAGAGTTGAGAGTTTTAAACCACCCCAAGGAGGAAGCACAAAAGAATAGCAATTCATTAGAATTCATGCCTCCAAAAGAGGCCGTGAGTAGCTTCAAGCTATGATTTATGAAGCACTATTAAGCAGGCCACATCCCATCATCCACTCTGATACTGAGGTGTCAGAGCTGGGCAGCCCCAAGGGAATGCACGTATTTGAACTAATGCCTCCTTGTGTGTCATTTCTACAGGAAGGAGATGATGACTGTGCTCTGCCAACTGTGCAAGTTTAAAACAAAACAAAACATACACTGCGGAGTACGTGAGTGGCCCGGGCAAGAGACTCAGAAGTGCAAGATCAGCCCAAAGGCACACTCGGCTACGCAGTTCTGGGACAGCCTGAGCTAGACAAGACAACACAGAAACACCCTGCTTCCTCAGACACAGCCCAGCTGCAACTGGTCTGCTGAAGGGGAGGGAGTCGGGCAAAATATTAAATATCCAGTGAATTTTTAATTTAAAATAAGATGCAAGTGAATCTGGTATGGCACTTGCCTTTAATATGCAATTTCACATGCTATCGTATACAGCGTATGGATGGCCCATAAATAAGTATGTATTGTTTGGGACATACTTCTACCAAAAGGCTATCTGCTGTTTATCTGAAATTCTAGTTCATGTGGCCATCCTGTGCTTCCTCAGGAGCATCCATCCTCGTCGCAAACGTTAGGATCCTTCAGGAGAGAAGGAAGGCCCTCCTGGGTATTAAAAACTCAATAATGAGTGTTTGTAAAGCACATTGTGAAATATATTTGCAAATTGGCAGAAGAAGGAGCCCGTATTAAGTAAATAAACTGCACAGAAACAACATGGAAGGAACTAGAGATACATGTGCCTTATGCTCTAACCTAGATTGGTAACCAGCTTGACACAATTAATTAATGGAAGAGGAAAACACAAAATACTAACTTGTATTTTGTATCAAATACATTGCCTTGTTTCCCCGCCCCCTTTTTTTATCCTAAGAGAATTCTCATTTTCTAAGGATGAACTAGATATACCTATGTAGAATTTTTTTTTTCAGAAAGTATTTTAGGTTAGGTGTTGGTGACGCATGCCTTTAATCCCAGCCCTTGGGAGGCAGAGGCAGCTGTATCTCTGTGAGTTCGAGGCCAGCCTGGTCTACATGAAGTATTTTCAGAACAGGCACCAAAGCTACAGAGAAACCCCGGTCTCGAAAAACCAAAAAAAAAAAAAAAAAAAAAAAGCGCTTTAGTTAAACCGTTGAGGAAAGGAACAAAGGAAATACAAAGGTTTGCTTTGCTAAGATTCACAAAGGAGTCAAGAGAATCCCTGGAGAGACTGTGTTTGGAATATTGTGAGAGCCAGGCACCCACTGAAGGAAAACTCAGGGGGAGGGGAGGGCTGGCCAGGGTTTCTCCAAGAAAGGCAGGTGGGGTGAGCATCAAGAAGCAGGCCCTACATTAGCAAGGCTGTTTAGGAAACAGCCGGGGGACCATCCTCTCACCTCTCTGAACCTGCTTTGGGGTTCTTGTCGTCTCTGGGAAGCAGGAGTTTTGGGTACCTGGGCGGGTAAGAAGCTGTGTACTGCAAGGGCCGGTTTCACAAGGGACCTGCCTCTTTGTGTCCTTCCTCTAAGTAATTGGCTCCACGGGGAAATGCATCAGGACAGTGACGGTGCAGGTTCTCAGCTACTTAGTGTGACTGGGGAATTGCCCTTATTTCTTTGGTTCAAATTTCTAGGGCCAGAATGACAATATAGTGTTATTCCTCATCCAGTTAAATGTTCCACATACATCAGACCTCTGCTTGTCAGACAGAGTCGCTTCTGTGGACCAGGGGGAATGTTTTCATGTCACTTTCTTCAGTTTAAGAAGTCACTTGCCGTTCAGCACCTGCTGTTCATTTTCAATGTAGTGAAAAGGCAAAAATGGGTTAAAAGAGTTAAATAACAATGGTACATAAATCTTACTCCACAAGACCCAAGCTCAAATTCCAGTCACATCATGCACATATTAGGTCCGTAATTTTAAATCACAAAACATCTTATATCGTTTTCCTAAAGACTTTTTTAATATCCACATAAACGTGCTATTCAAACAAAATGATCTAATGAGCAATTAAAATTAAGAGGGGAAAAATTCTTCATAAATTACAACACGCTTTATAAATTTTCATTATGAGTGAATTCACCTTTTCTCATTCTAAACTCCTAAGTTGTTGTTAAGGCTTTTCTCATGTTTTATGTCTTTAATGAGGAGTCAATCTCAAAGAAAAACACAGCAGTAATGAATAACAGCAGACTTACTAGTTGTGAATATACCTCAAAGGTATAATTCAAATAACATTATCAGCAAGGTAATAAACCAATATATCCCAGGCAGCTTCTCTCAAAAGAAAGGGGCTTTAGATTCATTATCTCAAGATTCTATGTATTAATTTTATTTTGCCTTTTGAGAAACGGTCTCACCGTTAGGGTTAGGCTGACCTCAAACTCAGAATCATCC